GCAGTGTGTTCTCGCTCTCCTGAATACAGCCAGCACACAACTGATCTTGTGTGTTGCATTGACATAGACCCAATCTATCAACCAATAAGAGAGATGATAAACAACAGAAAGGTCAGAGGTGAAGGAGAGGAACAGCCAACACGAAAATCCAAGCAGTCAGTCAATGAGACAAGAATGAAAGGAAACAACCAATCATTGACCACTTCATCAAGGCAAGCTACTAAATGACTCATGGAGAGATAATGACAGGTCACTTTATAGTGAAGTTAGTGCAGCAGATGATGTCGTGTAGAAGGACGATGAAATCTTCACGATTGAACAACCCACCTTAGAGAACATAATACAACCAAGACCATCCACCTGAGCTCAAATATTCTACACTACTGTGAAGTACGTAAATCAACTGACTCTCTACTAACATCAGACTACTCAACGTAAACTTCCGTCTTTGGGTTTCTTTGTGAACTGAGATAGTAAATTAAAATGATGCCATTAGAAAAAGATGAATGGCTAAGTAATCCACTTATAAAAGACATTTAAAAGGAGGTTACAAGTTTGGATAGTTTTCTTTGATGAATTTTATAAACAGTCAATAACCGAACTTTTGAGTCCCTACAGAAGCTCAAGTTAAGCTCTTACACTAACTTTTGATTCACTATTGGTCACCAATACAAAATATTTAAAACCATTGGAAGACTTTCCGTCTTCGAGATTCAAATCCACATCTTTCAGAAAAAGAGTAAGAGACAGTCTAGGTAGGTTAATCTGTGATAATGATTTTTGGCAAAACTGCTTCACAAGTAGACTGAATGTGTACACATACTAACTACTTTCATACGTAACAGGATAGTGTTTTCAACCTCAATGGCAACCACTTGATAGGAAGCGGACATAAATGGAAATCAACATTTTAAGTCATCGAGCCGTTGGGGTAGAATGTTTTTGTTTCAGTATTTGATTTATTTTTATATGAGGATAAAATAACCTTATTGGATGATTCCGTAGATGATGTAGCCAATAAGATTGTGTTATTCTTCCTTTGGCCTAGGACATATATATATATATATATATATATATATATATATATTATATATATATATATATATATATATATAGTAGTTTATCAAATAAAGTCGTCCCTGCAGTCACAAATCAGCTTTTGTCTCTTGATATTCAGTGAAGAATAAGTTACTGAGGGGGAATAGTCATATTGGCATTCAGTTCTAGTGAATCATTGCGTTGAGTATCGTTATTTACCTACTTCTTATTCCACTTGGTCACATCATCAGTGTCTTTTGTTAATTGACTTTGTACCCTACTACCTCATTAGGGATGGATTCCATCAACGTTCGATTCCGATTCAACGCCTTAATGATAACTTGTTCTTCATGAGATATGACAGTTTTAAACTCACACTACTGACAGGAGTATTAAAGTAGGATAGGGTAAACTGAAGGTTAGACAAAATTGCTAAGCTTTATTTCAGAGATGATTCATTCAGATTAATGTTGATAGCTTTATAAACCCTTATTAGTAATTAAAAAGCTTGAAAATACTATGTTCATGCAGAAAATTTGAAAAGACTCTGATTTACAAAGCAGCATAGTTTCCGGAAGCTATTTCAATAGGGCGTATTTCAAGTTCTTGGTTGATTAAAAGTTTTTCACTTGTATTGATTTTTCCTAGAAAGAATGTAGTCGCCATCTTTAAGAAGTAATTGAAATTAAGAAAATACTAAAGATACCAGAAAATCTACAGCCTTAGACATAAGACTTTTCAACAGAGTACAACTTACATGAAAGTTTAAATGCATGTTTTAATTCAATCATAGATACTTTGACTGATGGGTAAAAATCTTGTTTTTCTAATTCATCGGGCGATAATTTAGTATGGTTCGTCGTCAGACTTCTTGACATATAGCTTTAAGTGTCACATTTCGTTCTGTGACGTTTGAAGAGATGAGTTTCGGGTTCGAGCCTCAGTAGGCATAGAACCAATCATTCGGGTGCAGATACGACCAGTTGACGAGTCCCATATGGGATGAAGTGCATCTCATGGATTCCACTACCGGCTACCACCAACCCTAGAGACTAAATATGCTGAATGAAACAGGCACCTATAACCCTTTTCACCAGTCAGATGAACTTGTGTTTGGTGTTAGATATGCATCTTGTGCCATTGGGGTAGTCTTTTAAAATACTTTCTCATACTCATATACATTTGACGGGATTCTATTTATGCAGAGTAGTTAAGTCTTTGAAGATGGTATCAGAAAATTTACAATGGTGATGAGGACAATCTACTGGCATGTTTATGCACACCACTTTAATACCTAGTTTCCTTTGGCAATGGTTGCATTATACTTATGTTCTGACTGTCCCGTTTTAACTGTACTCATTATAGCAGTTTAGTTAATCATTATGACTCACTTAGGGGGATAAGGTGATTCCTTGCGTCAGACTATAATTTATTCCATCCTATAGTTTTACTCGTCTTGGCTTGATGAGCGCTTACAAGACATTAATAGGATTAAGAAGAGTTTTTCAAATGTTTGCCAACGGTATACGTATTCGCTCATTAAAAATTAAGTTTAGGAGAACGCAACAAGCATTGTAGTGCTATATATAGCTGTGACAGATAAAGCTGTCAGAGATCAGTGATTCTCGACACCCATGAGTAAAGATTTTTGAGTCTAGTGTTCTAGGCAAGAGCTCGGACTATAGTAATGATGGATAGTGGCTAGCAGTGGAATTTAGGGCGCGCATTTCGTCTATTTGGGACTCGTCAGCTGTGTGTACCTATCTCCCAGTGAGTGATGTTGTTCCTGTCGGGATTCGGACTCGGGAGTGGACAACATTTTGGCGCTTGAAGCGATCGCTCCCGAGTTTTAATCCTGGTGGGAACAACATCACTCACTGGGAGGCAGGTACACACAGCTGACGAGTCCCAAATAAGACGAACTGCGCGCCCTAGATTCCACTGCTAGCCACTATCCATCATTACTATAATCCGAGCTCTTGCCTAGAACACTAGACTCAAAAAAGAAAACTATTTTGTGACTGTTTTCTACGAGAACGGGTATCCACGCGATCTCATCAAAAGATCCTTGCCTAATTGGTCGTCAACCAAGAAGTTAGCCTCGGGAACCAATAAACGGATTGTCTTACACTACATGAAGAAAGTCTCCGACATCATGACTAGATTATTGAAGCCTTTTGGAATCACTGAAGTTCAAAAGCCCACAAAATCTCTTCACTCTCGGTTATGCAGGCCAAAAGATGCATTAGTGAAAGAAGACAAACCAAACACTATCCACAAAGTGAACTTCAGAGACTATGTAAAACACTACATGGAACAGAGTGGTTACCTTCTTAGTGTATACGTCTACATGAACATTAACTAGCAGTGAAGCATCATGAAATATCTTCGGCCACATGGGTCAACGGTGGATATGAATTTGACTGGGAAAATGTGGAAATTCCGGACAGAGAGAATATAACGAATGTCAGAGAAATTTTAAAAACTTGGTATTCAGGTTAGTCCGTGATCAATAGACATATTGACACTGACCCAATCTTTCAACCAATAAGAAACAAAAGAAACAACAAGACAGTCAAAGTTCATGTCAGCAGAACAATCGATCGAAATAAATATGACGATAATGATAAGATTTTGCCGAAACAACCAATCACAGGCAAGGTCACCTGAACAAGCTACTGAACTACTTGTGGAGAGAACCACATAGCTCACTTCTTTCTGAAGTTTTTGTTGATGATGTTGTCTAGAAGGACGCTGAAAGCCTCACGATTAAACAGTCAAGCTCAGAGAACACAACACTATCAAAATCATCCTCCTAAGCTATAAATATTCTCCATTATCACAGAGTGGAATTACGATTTTAGTGGATAAATAGTTAGTTAAACAACAATTGGATTAGTTTTACTGACTTGAATTGTTTGTGCAATTAAACATCCATTATTCTCATAAACACAATCAAATAGTTTATGACTGAATGGTAAGTAGTTCAGTTTAACATTCTAGACATACTTTAACCTTTTTGGTTATCTGACTTCATATGAGTCTTGTGTCGTATTGTACTAATCCTTAACAGTGTTGTTTTCTACGTGTACTTCAACTGTATCGTCTTTTTTAAAAGCAGTTTGCTTTAAGAACTTGAACGAAGAAGGAACAACAGCTGCAGCAGGATAGTGTAAACACTTTTTCTCCTAACCATTTAATTGCCAAATGCAGCAATTTTCATGTCAAGTATCTAAGTATATTTACATATTTTGTATTGAGTTCCCATAGAAAAAACGACTGATAGGGGAGATGTACTGATATAAATAACTTCATCGAACCCGTAGATACTGAAGCAAAGAGTTGGAATGGTGATTGAAAGGCTTTTTTTAATTTTCGGGACATTCATCCATCTATCCTATGAATTAATAACCTTCCAGGCAGATTTCCAACTTATTTTATTCAAAGTCTATAGGCTCGACAATATTGTGGCAGCGCATGTCTTATATCAATCACTTTTCTCTGGGGAAGTTGACAAAAGTTGATGTTTAACATTAAAACTGTTGCATTCGGTGATCAGCTAATTAGAATTGCCAAAGTAAGGTTCCACTTCAATCATTGTTTATACTGTATTACTTTTAAGAAACTGATGCTTGAACCGCCTAATTAGCTTACAGCTGACTTTCATCTCCGGGTAACAGTTGAAAAGGGAAAGGAATAAAAAGCAGTTGTTCCTCTTCGTTGTAGCTTCAAAGTCAATAAATGTGAATGCTGTCGGTTTTATATTGGAACATACATATCCAGGAACTTCCGGTTTCATGGAAAACATATTGACACATAGATATCGGGTTCGAAGCCATTTACTGACACTGCTTAAGATGCAGTCTGTTCACCTTATCTCATGACTGTAAGTCAGTTTCCATTTTGGCTGAATTTATATAAACCGAATTTTTAAACTCACTTTTTCTTTTTTAAACATGCAGTTACAGTCGATATCCAAATAGGAAGCTTACGCCAGCTGCAACTTCAGTCCGACTTCGTACATGTGGAAACAACTGTTATCCAGGAACTAATGATTACATTGACCATCATAGAACACCAAGTGCACCGAATTTAAGATATGACATACCAGTAGATTATCAAACTGTTTCACAGGATTATAGATCATCATTTGCACGTAGACCGCGTCAACTGTTACGTAGAAAAGATGCCATTCAAGCTGCACCGTCAAATATGCTACCTGAAGATAAGTCATTATATCGGTCCACATATACTGGGAGAATGTGTGGTAAGTTCTGTTTCTTATGTGAACACAATAGCCTTTGAGTTATGAAAACAACAGATGACATTAGATTGCATAAATAGAGTAAAACATTGATTTTATAACTTTTAATTTACGGTCGTTGGTTGGACAGAACCGATTTATTACCTATACCTATGAGTTCCTAAGTGAATGCCGTACTTTTGACGTTCATTCTAGCTTCATAATATTAATGGATACTGGCCAGTAGTGGAATCCACAACATGTATTTTATCTTGTTAGCTGGATGTACTTGCCTCCTACTATATAATTTTGTCCCTACTGAGACTCGAACCCAGAACCGATCACTTCAAGCGACAGAGAGTTATCAACTAGCCTACTGATAAATGATAACCTCTCCTTGGGGTAAAACTTTAGTAGCTTAGCATTTCAGTGTTATTATGAAAGTATTCTGTTAGCTTCAGTACAACTTTACAACAGTACAAACTTTCACCAGGAATTACAATTTGTGCTAATACCGATAACTTAGGTGAAACTGAAATACTCATCCATAACAGCCTCAGTGGAGAGGACACAGTGACACATTTTGTAGCTGGTTTCTACAGACAGTTAAGTGTGACCTTCAGTTTATTCAGTAGTCATCGGAAAAAGTTACAGGATAACAAACTTTATTTGGTGGAAAAAAAACGATTTCTCTTAGTTCTTGACAAATACAAACCAAGATATTCCTCTCAAATACAGTGACATGAAAAAAAACATCTTTCAGATAAAGAGAAGGAGAAATTCTACTAATATTTCGTTTCATATTTATCCTTGTATTTCTATCGTTCAGATTAACGTAGTACTTGTTAACTTTGTAATGATGTTAAATAAGTAGTTTAATTAGTAGTATAAATAAAGCTTGCTTTTCATTCTTGGTTTAATAGCCTACCAGATAAATAGGGGTGAAATTCACAATCCCCTCAAAATTTAAATTTTAGGTAGTTTAAACAGCATAGTGAGAAGACGAAGATTATCTAAAACACGTGATACATTAGTGATAGACATTTCGAAGAATTTGATCATACATGGACTTGTCAAACTATTTATAAGATAATAAGAAGAAGGAACAAAGCCAATTTATTGACGACAACACTGATACAGAATGGCTATCGGTTGAAATTTATCAACAGGTGCAAAATTTATGTTGTATTAAAAAGTATGCAATGCTCCTTTGCTAAGATAAATTTTTATATTTCGTTACTCTTTAGAGGCGTCCATATAACTTTATTGTGAGAAAAAGGTTTAGATCAGCCACCAGTAAAACATATTATGCAGCCGAGGTCATCATATTACAACACGAACCAAAACAACATATAAACGATTTTAAAACAATTAGTTCCCTTGATAAACTTCGACAAAACAATAAGAAGACGTAAATTGTCTGAACCGTGTAATGTATTTGCGCAACACATTTCGAACTATCTGATCACACACGTACTTGTCATAGGTATATATATATATATATATATATATATATATATATATATATATATATATATATAAATTAGTCGAAGGCAGGATGGATCCATAAAACGATCTATCTACAGAAAACCCACATGGACAGGGCAATATCTGAATTACCATAGCTTTTGCCCAGTTCAGTACAAGCGAACGTTAGTAAGGTGCTTATTCAGCAGAATTCAACGAATATGCACCGAGGATACTTTAGAAGATGAAAGAAGAACACTGACCGATATTTTGTTGGAAAATAACTATCCATCAACATTTATCAGGCAGAACAAAATCAGTAGAGCGTCAAAACTAGAACTGCAGTCAGTCCCAAAGAAGGATGTCTTCATCAGCCTTCCGTACAAAGGTGACTCTCAGAGTGCAATCCTTAAGCAGAGACTCAACGCTGCTGTTAGAAGGACTTATTATGCAGCCAGGGTTCGAGTAATCGAAACCACGAAGCCGTTATATTCCCCCAAACCCCTACAGCATGTGAACGATAATGTCACATCCCATTGTATCTACCAATTCAAATGTACGTGTGGTGACACATACATAGGGAGGACTAATAGATCCATGCAAGTAAGGGCCTCGGAACATATTCCATAGTGGCTTCAGAAGCAAATCAAATCACCTGAACCTATAAATGTTGGTAGCAAACGTCCAAGCTCTTCGATCGCTAAACATATCGTTGAGACAGGTCACATTTTTTTTTTGGCTACTTCCTTTACACCTATCTACAAAACATGTTGGGGAGGGGTCCTGAAATTTGTTGAAGCCTTAGCTATTAGGAAGTTTAAACCACCTTTATGTATTCATAAACAATTTGTTGTCACATTAAACCTTCCTTGGTAAATTCAACTATTGAAAAACCAAGTTCGATGTACTATTATTTTTTCGCCCTATTGATTTTCACTGTTATTCGGCCTTTGAGTCAGCCTTCCTACCTGACCCCCTTTTTATTTTCTCACCCCTTATCTTCATGAGTTTTTATATAAATACCTATGACAAGTACGTGTGTGATCAGATAGTTCGAAATGTGTTACGCAAATACACTACACGGTTCAGACAATATAAACGATTACATCGCACCCCAGTGTGTTTATCAATTTACATGTATGTGTGTCCACACATACATGGGAAGGAGCAATTGTGATATGTAGTTAAGGTTGACTGAACACGTACCTAAGTGGCTACAAAAACAAATGACCTCAAAGAGCCAATAAGTGCAGGTGACAAACTTCCATCTTCATGTATTGCTAAACTCATACCAGTAACTAACGTTTGGGTAGACATGAAAACATATTTTAAAGTGGTCAGATCCAAGTATTTACATTTATTGAGGCTCTTGCCATCCATAAATTCACACCCCCTCTGCGTAAACAAAAACATTTTGCACACAGATTGAACCTACCTTGGTAATAGTGACTTTAATTTTCATACCAAAGTGATATGACTAGGATTTTTTTTTTTCTTTGCCCTTCCTATTCCAATGTTTTCTATTGAATTAATTACCAATATATTCAGGCAATATCGAGGTATCTGAATAAGAGCCCGTATGCCAACAAAGGTCGAACAATTCGATCTAGTACAACAACAGAGAATTACAAGTATATCAACGAAAAGTTATAACTGATGCCCGTTGTACAAGAGGTGACTGTCGTGCCTCAGTGGCCCAGTGGATAATACTGTGACATTTGAAGCGATGCGTACATGGTTCGAGACTCCGCGGGACAACATCACTCTAAGCTGCAGGTACATTCAGCTGATGAGCCCCAAATAGGATGAACCCCCCGTCCTGTATTCGATGCATCTGCATAGCAGTCCATCTGCTAACAGATGTCGAACAACTCCATCCAGTATAACAACGGAGAATTACAAATACATCAACAAGTTAGATTGTTCGAAATGTACAGCGCTAACAGATCACATGTTTCAGATAATCTTCCTCTTCTTATTACACTGTTTAAATTCTAAATAGTATTTGTATTACAGATTTACATTTCAGTGATTGAAGAATGTTAAAATAGTCCCACACTATTTAGTGACTGTTGGAGATATTTCACAAATTCTGAATACTTATCATCAAGATTTGTTTAAGTACCTTTCTGCTTATGATGGGATGGTCAGTATCTATCTAACGATAGACAGCATATTGTACAGAAACACTGAGGCAGGACATTTTATTCATGACTGCCTGTAGGAGTCCTATTCATCAATACTTGAGTAAACACAAAACAACTACACTTAATTACACAACAATGACTGTAACATGTCAGAATGTTTTGCTACTAGAGTGAATGGTATATAAGAAATGTAGTTTGAGGTTCATATGGACTTCATTTTTATTCTTAACGTAGTATTCACTATGGACTGATATCAGTTGAAAACCTGAGAGTACTGGACAGTTGTTTCGTCCTAGTTTGGAACTCCTCAGCCGTACGCTTCCATGATATCGTCAGTGGACGAACTCAGGAACTTAGAGCTGAAGGCTTAAACCGTTCACCAGTAAACCTGAAGGTCCTGGGTTTGATCCCTGGTGGGGTTGTGGGTGCGTACTAGTGAGTAGAAGGAAATAGTTGTCCAGTGCTCCAAGGTTTTCAATAGATCACCAGCTGATTTCAGTTCGTAATGAATACTGCCTAGTGAGGCAGTATATAAAATGATACCATCTCCAAGTGATGATAAGCAATGTCATAGCCATCTATGTATTATATGACTAAAAAAGAATTTTTGATTTTTATTTGTTTATCTGTATAGCACCTGCAATTAGAGTTCAGCCACGTGATGAAGGTATAAATGGCCTTGAGACAACTCAACAAAGAGCTAGAAGCTTATTGAAATCAAAAGATTTAATTGAAATTGACAGTGATATTTACAAACAAATTTATCCTTGCACAAATGATTCCACATATAGGACAGATTTCAATGAACACATTTTTCAAGATGTTCAATACGATACACTTCCAAATATTGATTCTAGAAATCAAGATGATTCAACTGATTATCGTGAAAATTATCATTCATGGATTAAGCCTTCTATGAATAATGAAATTATACAACGAGTTGGTTATAATTGGAAACCAAAACCTGCTGTTTATCTCCCAGAAGATCCTAGTAAACATGAACCAATCGAATCTAATTCTGTATATCGTTTAAATTTTATTAATTATTCTGAAGATTCATTGAAAAATTGTAGAAATCGTAGTCAAAAGGCTTGTTATTCAGCTATTAAAGAAGATAATCTATTGAGTAGTTATGATGGAAAACAGGAAAGTATTCCAAATACTTTATATCGAGATTCTTATATTGGTCAGCATGGTGTAGATAATTGGAGTGATCGACATACCCTACAAAATACATCATCAATTACATTACGAACTGGACCATATCAACAAAATGATGAAACCTATTGGTTTGGCGTAGATATGACATCATTTAGAGATAATAAAGAATCAATGTTTATGGAATCATCATATTTAAATAATTCTTATGAAAAATTAAAAGTTTAAATTAAGAAGGAGAGAAAATATTGATAAGATTATTCAAGATGATAAATACATTGAATACGCATAGTGTTCTGTTGAAGCTAATGATTATTATTGTAATTTAGATAGTTTAGTCTATAGCAGCTAGTGAAATTGCCTACGATTATTATTGTTTTGTTTGTTTTAATCTGTATTCTCATTATGATAGAGATAATTTCTAACCTGGATCAATTGGTTTACATATTATTATATTTCCATGCAATTTAAATGCTTATAAATGCGCCAAATTATTTTCAAATTTTTATTGATTTCAAATTAAAACAAATTATAGTATATTACTTGTCTTTTTAAAACAGACTTTATAAATGTTGCTTGACAGTACTTATATTGGGATTTAGAACTTATGTTTTATCCTATCATGGACTAGTTAGCATGATGCAAATGGATCCCAATCAGTGATATTATTCCACAGAGAGTTGAACCCAACAACTATCACCTTATATGCCAAAGCGTTATCCACTAGACCATTGAGACATAAAGATGATTTGCGGCAAAAGTGAAATAACGGGGTTGATTTTTTTTTTATTTTTAAAAATTCTGATTGCCAGATGGCAGAGCTTAGAGGGGGGGGATCCATTGGAAGGGCTACCTTGTCAAACTCCCGAAGAAGGGAGACCTAAGTCTTTGCAAGAACTGGCGCCGAATCATATCCCACCACTGCCCACCCAACGCAAGCAAACTGTTAAACTGCATCATCGTGGAGAGACTAAAGGATGAGTTGGATTCAAAACTACGACCGAAACAGACTGGCTTCAGGAAGAACAAATCATGTAGGGACGAAATCGCAACGCTTCACATCATCATAGAACAGAGTATAGAATGGCAGTTAACTCTATACGTTACCTCAACCTCACCGACTTTGAAAAGTCTTTGCTTCGAAAGCGTCGACCGAGAAGTAGTTTGGCAGGCAGCTGCTTCAACATTATGGTTTTAGTGCCACAAATATTTATCAAACTCATTCAACAGCAGCTATATGCTTTATGATACTATATGCCAAGTAATTCACAGTGGGAAGCTCAGTGATGCCTTTCAAGTGAAGACAGGAGTAAGACAAGGCTGCCGCCCACTATCACCCATGATATTCCCGATCGTGGTGGACTGGATCATGCAAGAAACAGTGAGGAGAGAGAAGAGGGGGATATGCTGAACCGAGGAAAAGATCATAGAAGATTTGGATTTCGCCAATGACTTGTGTCTGATGTCACACAAACTTGAAGATCTACATGCGAAAACTAACAAGTTGACAGAAGAGGCAGGCAGCGAAGACAGGACTTCAAGTGAACGTAGAGGAGAAATGGGTGATGAAGATACTCAACCAACAACAACAAACACCAATCACCATCAACGGAGAAACCTAAAGGAAGTAGTCTCTTTCACCTACCTAGGCAGGTAGCATCGTTTCAACTACAGGCAGCGACACAGACGAGACATCAAAGCGCCACGATCGGAAAGACAGCAAGGCAGGCCTTCCTGCATTAATCTGAAACCAGTGTGGAGATCTTCTGCACTCAGCATAAAACGTGAACAAGATCCATGTTTTCAACACCAACGTTAAGTTAGTGCTTCTGTATGGCTCAGAGGCTTGGCGGCGTGTCACGAAAAGCATTTCCAACAAACTACAGACATTCATCAACAACTGCAAACGCTTGTTACTGAAGATCAGATTGCCAGAATGATAAGAATAAGCAACAAGGAACTGTGGGAACGAATCAACTAAGAACCTATCACCCAGCACTGGAAGGAAGTGGAAATGGATTGGGCATACGCTGAGAAGGCCGACTGGGGACATTACGTGCCAGGTCCTCGAGTGGAACCCCGATGGGAAGCGACGAGTTGGGCGTCGGAGGTGAGGGTGACATGGAGGAAATGGTGTGAGGAAAAAGAGCTTGTGGACTGTTGTGGAGCCAGATTCAAAAATTTGCGGAGACTTGCTACTGAAACCCTATGTTCCACTAGGAACCTAAGGGACAAATAATGAAATTATATCATATGCGATAGGAAACTGTGTTGAAACTTAGCAAAAGCTTCACTTCATTGTGATTAATATTGGTTAGTTATTGATGATAAGCGTATAACCGACCAGCAGGATGCCACTGTGCAGTATAAACAGTTCACTATTATCTGTATATACCGCCTGGTCCCTCCACTTAGTTTAAAACTACCAAGACATTGAACATTTGTTTCACCGTTTCGTGGTCCAGGTTTTCAGTAAAGTATACCAATAGAACTATAAAAATCAAGCCAATTATTTAGTATCCATTGAAAAATGACTGTCTGACTACAGGAAGTGAATAATACATCGATTTTTTTAGTATATAACTTTTGTCCAAAGTTTCTAGGAGTGAGTTATTTTCTCACCTAGGAAACTTCATGCGACCAGATTTTTGAAAATCAATCTGTCCACGTTATACCGGTGATACAACTTGTCTACGATGCAGTGAAAGTGATATTCTATATTTACACAAGTCTTTATTGGACCCTGATACCTGCTTGAAATTGCACTTAAAACCCAAATATCCGTCAAATTTATTGATCTGAAATTGGTATTCATCCCACAGTGAAATAATTTGAAGAACCACTGGAAAAGTGAGAGCACTGGACAGGTGTTGCATCTTAATATGAGACCCTTCAGCAGCACCCACTCATGACCCAGCCGGGAATCGAACCTAGTACTTCTAGGTTGCATGTTACCATTGAGCGACTGAGTTTGAATCCAATGGTCCACATCTTACTACTTCTGTCAGTTAGTGATATAACAAAACTTTCATTCACTGCCGTTGTTGAGAATTTGTCCTCAAGTCCTATTTCGTTTTGTAAACCCCTGAATAAAGTCAGCTTAATTTGGGGGTTTGTTGGGAGTTAGTGATTTTTCAATTTGGTTTTCATCATGGACTGACGTCGTCTTGAGAAACATCGGAAACCTAGGAGCACTGGGCTTCTGTTTCTTCTTAGTATGGGACTTCTCAGTAGTGCGCACCCACAACCCCACCAGTGTTCGCACATAGGATCTTCAGATTCCATGGCCCGTACGTTACCCTTGAGCCACCGGATCAGAATCCAGTGATCCATATTTCCAACCTCTGTCAGTTCATGACATAGCGCCAACATCAACCTATGTCGTTGTTGAGTATTCGTCCTCACGGCCACTGTCAGAAGTTGGAAATATGGAGCATTGGATTTTGACTTAGAGGCTCAATGGTAACGTGCTGGCCATGGAATCTGAAGATCCTAGGTTCAACCACTGGTTGGGTCATGGATTTGCACCACTGAAGAGCCCCATAATAGGATGAAACAGCTGCCGAGTGCTTCCAGGTTTCAAATGCTCCGCCAACTGATGTCAGCACATGATGAATACCAAAGTCAGTTTAGTCGTTTGGCCAAGCTCCTCACAATCACTTAGCGTCATGTACAACAGCGATATAAAGGGAAACTGAGAATGATAAATTTCCCTGATTATGTTCGACTTTATTGTAGATTTATCATTCATGTCGGTCCAGTCTCCAAATTTTCAAACAAAACTGCTAAGTATGCCATTGAATGTCGTCAGGATGGAAAACTACCAGCAGAAAATTATATTGCTAAGCATACTGTTAAAAATTCAGTTTCCTGAAGTACATAAAAATATATTTAAAATGTTTTTAAACCGACATTTCGTTTATTGAACAATATGAAATCACTACAATTATGTGACTTAACTGTCGACAGTATTTCAATGGTACAAATTTATTAAGTGTATAGTTAATCTTTCAACTATTGAATTATTGTAAAAGTAGCCTGAATAGTATCGCAGAAGATTCATTTGGACTTAGTTACAAACTTCATACGTCGATTGGAATCGGTCACACGAACTTGTCATAATTGTTATTTTACGGTAACAAGTGATTATTATTATTTGTCCTTTGGGTTCTTAGTGGAATATAGGGCTTCAGTAGCACGCCTCCATTGCATTCTTTTCTCTACAGTCTTTTAAACCTGGCTCCACCAATACCAGCAAGCTTTCATTTCTTCCTCACACCATCTCCTTGTCACCCTCAGACGCCTAACTCGTCGTTTCCCCTTTAGATTCCACTCAAAGAGCTGGCGCGTGATGTCCCCAAACGGTCTTCTCAGTGCTTGTACAATCCAATCCAATCCAGTCTGTCTCCACTTTCTTCCTCTGCATATTTGTTGGGTGACAGCTTCTTGGTTGGTTGGTTCGTTGTCAGCCAGCCAGAGTTCCTCGTTACTTATTCTCATTGTTCTGGCCATCTGATCGATATTCAGTATTGAGTGAGCGTAGGCGTAGACAGCAGCTGTTCATGTGATGTATGTGTGTAGTTTGTTGGAAATGCTTTTCGTGACACGCCGCCAAGTCTCTCAACTATCACATAGAAGCACTGACTCAGTCAGTGGACTTGACTGAATTAGTGTTGAAAATCCAGATGTTGTTCACGCTTTATACTGAGTGCAGATCTCCACACTGGTTTCAGTTAATCAACGCCTATCTTGCTTTCCCGACCGTGGCTTTGACGTCTGGTCTGTGCCACCGCCTGTAGTTGAAACGATGCTGCCTGCCTAGGTAGGTGAAAGAGACTACTTGATTTAAGTTCCTTCGTTGATGGTGATTGGTGTTTGTTGTTGTTGTGTTGGTATCTTCATCACCCATGTCTCCTCTACATTCACTTGAAGTCCTGTCTTCGCTGCCCCACCTCTTCTGTCAACTTGTTAGTTTTCGCATGTAGATCTTCAAGTTTGTGTGACATCAGACACAAGTCATTGGCGAAATCCAAATCTTCTATGATCTTTTCCCCAGTTCAGCGTATCCCCCTCTTCTCACTCCTCACTGTTTCTTGCATGATCCAGTCCACCACGATCGGGAATATCATGGGTGATAGTGGGCGGCAGCCTTGTCTTACTCCTGTCTTCACTTCGAAGGCATCACTGAGCTTCCCATTGTGAGTTACTTGGTATGTGGCGTCTTCATATAGTTGTTGAATGA